CACTGATCATTATCCAGGAATACAGACACTTTAACTGCTGGTGAAGAGAAGGACAGGGAGGGAGGGGTGACTGCAGGCGCTGAGATCTCACTGGGACTCCTAGGTTCCTTTGTTGGACAGATAACATTGTACAGCCTAATTTTGTATTATCACAACTGCCCATGACTTATGAAAGGAAGTACAGGAGAATTTCATTCAATGATTGAAGAAACCCTCAGAGTTTTCAACTGGGTTCCATTGAAGAACTGTATATTTTTGGGAAAACACCATCAATATGACATGTGTGTGTGAACCATGATATATTAATCAAACTAGTATAAACTGCTCTCAAAGAGATTGTTTTATTATGAGAAAAAAAGGAATAAGAAAGTGAAAAATACAGAAACATATTCCAATTTAGCTGCTGGGTCTGGAATTATAGTGGAAATACTGAGAAAATGTTAAGTCTATTATCAAACACTGACTTTACCTCTTGTTCTAAAAAGAAAAAACACGTTTCCTGCAAATGAAAGCTTAATACCTTCAAAATTAAAAGAACATCTGAGGCTGGACACAGTGGCTCACACCTGTAATCCCAGCACTTTGGGTGGCTGGGCAGGGCAGATCACCTGAAGTCGGGCAGACGCAGGCAGATCACCTGACCAACATGGAGAAACCCAGCCTCTACTAATAATACAAAATTAGCCGGGCGTGGTGGCGCATGCCTGTGATCTCAGCTACTAGGGAGGCTGAGGCCGGAGAAGCGCTAGAACCAGGAGGTGGAGGTTGCGGTGAGCCACGATTACGCCACTGCACTCCAGCCTGGGCGACAAGAGCGAAACTCCATTACAAAAAAGAGGCAGGGGGACAGGTAGAGTTATTGGGCATAATTTCTCAGTTGTTCTACAAATCTTTTAATTTTTTTGGTTACATAAATTAACTCATTTATTATAGGCCAGCGATGTCTCAAAGAGTACAGGAGCGTCTGCCGGTCTTTTAGTGGCTTCAGTCTTCAGATGGTGGACTTTACCGTGACTACAGAAGTGGTATTGTAGGTCCAGACAATGAGTCTCCCGCATGAAGGCACTGCTACTGTCTTCATGCAGGAACCACAGCACCGTATTCCCACAGCTCGTCTCTTCATCTTGGTTTTGCCACAGAAAAAGCAAATGTACTTGGCGTGCTGGCTGATTTCAATCTTCACCGTTTTCTGGAGGGAAGCACCACAGTGGGTCCTGTATTTACCCATGATTCCAACTTCTTGGTTTAGTCATGTCGTGGCAAACTAGGTCCAAGCTCAGAGAGCTGTTCCACAAATCTTAAGGAAAAAGACAATCAGTGTGCAAAAGAAATACGAATCATTATAAGTGCTGAAAACTTCATCCAGTATTGATAGGTATGATGCATATGCTTTTGGTGACAAATCAGCTATAAATGAAAAACTACACTTCTTGGCAAAAACACAGTATCAGTGTATTACCTACCACAAAATATTTACAGCAACGACTACGATGTAGTAACACTCCAACTTGCTGAGAGCACTAATACCGAAAGTTGCATAATATTTTTATGCCATAATGTGTAGCAAGATAATTTTATAGAGAAATTATTGGCTCTATAGAGAAAAGTATGTTTAGAATTTTAAAATAGGTCCCTTGTCCACCATGATGACGGTGGCAGTGAATCAGAGGTGAGGGAGACCGTGGATGTTCTGCTTGAGATTCTAAATACTGGCTTACTGGAAACTGGCTATTTGTGTACAACTTTGTGAACAAGGACTTGACCCAGAACTAATTAATAACCAAGGAAATAAATATCACTGGTTATTAAGGAGCTTCGAAAGACTACCAAAGCACTAAAGGCTGCTGAAAATATGACAAGCTTTCTGGAGAAATCCTGATATGTCAAGCTCTGCAAGAGGATTTGTTCTTGTAATCAAGAATGTACAATGAAATTACTACATGCAGCAGTGTAGAAAAATTGTCCTTTTTAAAAGAATTATTGAAACATAGCTTTATAAATCAGCGGGAAAATGGCTTATGGGGGAACTATCAGGTGTATTTACGTTGCATCTTATTCACTTTCTTAAATGGCACTAATGTATTGGCATTGCTATGTTTGTATTTACGCATTCCTTATTTATAGCTCTAATAGCTTTAATTTTCTGAGCAGTCTATCAGATGTTTACATCTGCCGTGCCTTGTTGAAGTATGCTGGAACCCATCAGTAATAATGTGTCGTGGTTATATGACTTGTTGATATTTCCTTTATAAACTAATTTTGAATTGTTTATGCACAATAATTATGGATTTATCTTGTACTGGGCTGAAGGATTTCAGCCACCATTTGTGAATTTTGATTTAGGTTCATGACATCAGAATCTTGTTTTTTAAAATAAGAACATGGAAAACATTTCTTGTAATCTGTCCCTTAACAAAGAATATATAGTTTTTCAAACAGGTTGTTGGGTGGTTAATAGGGTGAACCAGATCATTTTTATTGATTTAAATAATTAATTTCATTAAACTTTTTTTTTTTTTTTTTTTTTTTTTGAGACAGAGTCTCGCTTTGTCACCCAGGCTGGAGTGCAGTGGCATGATCTCGGGTCACTGCAACCTCTGTCTCTTGGGGTTCAAGCAATTCTCCTGTCTTAGTCTCCTGAGTAGCTGGGACCACAGGCACATGCCACAACGCCCAGCTAATTTTTGTATTTTTAGTAGAGACTGGGTTTCACCATATTGGTCAAGCTGGTCTCAAACTCTTGACCTCAGGTGATCCACCTGCCTTGGCCTCCCAAAGTGCTGGGATTACAGGCATGAGCCACCATACCCGGCCTAAACCTGTAATTTTATGAAGAGAATAAATTATTACAGCTTAGTACTTCATTTACACAGAAAAGCGATTGTCAGATATGAAATTTATCACGATGTTGGACTAAGATTAAAGAAGAATTCATTGCTATACAGAACATGGATACATATTATTACTATTCATGACTGCCTATATATGTGAACTAGGGTTTTCAATTTTGATCAGTTTCGAAGAGAAAAAGATCAGGCACCACAGTGGACCAGATGTTTCTGTACCACTGTCCTCATGAATTCTGGAGTGGAATAAACCTAAGAACAGGCAAGAACTTCCCTGGCATTAAATAAAATCTTTCCTAATTTGTTTCTATTTATATTAACATTTTTCTACACTGTATTATAAAATATTTTTATATTAAATTAGATCTGTTGCTTTTACTTTATCCTGAGCAGTAGATAAGTATGATGAAACTTACATTTCAGATATGCACATATATGTTACGTATATATGGGTGTACACTCTGGGTTACAACATAAAATTTCTTATTGTGGTTGTGAATCAAAACACTGGAAAACTCAGTGGGTTAGAAGTTAGAAGATAATGTTGGATAAGTAACATACCTGCAGAAGAAGGTGCACACTACCAGTTTGCAGTCTCTAAGCTAAATTGTGGAGGATATTGAATATGAGTATACATACATAAAACTCAGCTTGTAGGTAAGTTCTCTGCCAGGACAGAGAACAATATAATAAAAACTCTTTTAGAGACATTAATATGATCCAATCTCAGGACTGACAGGAATAGAGACTGAAGGCAGAAAGGTCATTTAAGTATCACTAAGACAATCCAAAAATGAGACCTGAATTTGGAATCAGAAAAGGAGCAACTGTGGAGATAATGGAGGTAAAACATGGTGCCGAGGAGAAAAGATAGGGTTTTAGAGCTGGGAGAGACCTTTGGAATCACAGATTTCATCACCGTATTAGTCCAAGTAGGGAAAGTAACAGGGAGGAAAAAACGGAACCACTCAGAATTTGTCTATGACGTCACAGTGACTTAATGAACTCTCAGTAGTTAATCCAAGCAGGGCGGACGCGGTGGTGCGTGCCTGTAATCCCAGCACTTTGGGAGGCTGAGACAGATGAATCACCTGAGGTCAGGAGTTTGAGATCAGCTTGGCCAACACGACGTCTCTACTAAAAATACAAAAATTAGCCGGGTGTGGTGGCGGGCCCCTGTAATCCCAGGTACTTGGGAGTCTGAGACAGGAGAATCACTTGAACCTGGAAGGGGGAGGTTGCACTGAGTCGAGATCCTGCCATTGCACTCCAGCCTGTGCAACAAGAGTACACCAAAAAAAAAAAAAAAGTTAATCCAGTTAATGCAATTAACAGAAGGCTTGGATTCCCTTCAGGATATGAAGGGCCAGCCCTCAGATTTACTTTTTATTCAATGGATTAAAATGGCCAATAATTCTCATCCTTTTAAACCCGACTTTCAATTAAGTAATTACAAGTGAGCCTACCGGGCGTGCCCAATCAATTCCTTCCCCATCCTGAAATGTGTCCTTTAGCATTTTTTCATAAGTATGTTTCCTAAAATACCACCAAACTCTCTTAAGAGGTTTTCTACTGATTTCAACAGTTTCGGTCTTATGAATGAACCTAGAACTCTTCATCTGCTTGTTAATTTTCCAACTGCAAAGCATTATTGAACATTTAATGACCCTGCCCCGACGCAACGCTCACCGCGGCCGGGCGAGGGAAATCAGGGTAGTTCTAGGAAGCGGAGGCCTGCGCTTTCGGGAGGGAAGCCGCTGGTGGTAGTCGGACTGAAGCTGGGCAATTCCTTTCTTCCCTGGATATTTAAGGCTACGGGGACACTGGGCGGGCAGACACAACGGCCAGCGCGTCCCCCTACCCTTGCCCAAGGTCCGCTTTGAATAATCAGCTGACAACCTCAACTCCCTTGAACCCAGCGCGGGAGACCCTGCGCCATGACTAGGTCGGTCTCAGGCGCATCCCAACGCTCGTCCCGGGAAGCTCCAGGAGCGCCTCTGGTTTCCGGGTGCGAATAAGAAGCTACTCGGGAAACCCCAGAACCCTCCCTTTGAGGAAGGGTGCAGACGGCGTCTCCGTTTCCAAGGAAACAGGCCGAGCCATGTCGTCACTTCCGCCGACCTGTCTGGACTCCAGACTGTTGGGAGGGAAAGAGGAAAACTGAGCAACAGCCACGACAGTGGACGCGAGCGTCTCCTCTGTGCGCATGCGCCCGCTCAGCGGCCTGCTTCTATTTATGTGGGGGATCCAACATGGCGGCCACGGCGACCCTGGAGATGGCGGTGAATCCCATCAGAACGTAGTAGCGGGGAAGGGGGCACGGTCCGCACTCACCGTGGCGTCGGCGGAAACGGCTGAGGGTGGTGGAGGGAAGAAAAGCGACGGAGAGCAAGAGGAAGGGCGGGGAGGCACGCAGCGCGGCGTAGAAGCGAGCGCCGGCTCGAGCGAAAGCAGAGGGCCAGAACAGTGGGGATGGCGGAGCCGCGCAGAGTAGCGTTCATTAGCTTGTCATCGGTGCGGCGGCGCGAGGCCGAGTACCCAGGGCCCGAGCGCGAGCCCGAGTACCCCCGCGAGCCCCCCCAGCTGGAGCCGCAGCCGTACCGCGAGCCGGCCCGGGCGGAGCCGCCGGCCCCGCGGGAGCCTGCCCCCCGCTCCGACGCGCAGCCCCCGCCGCGGGAGAAGCCGCTCCCCCAGCGCGAGGTCAGCCGCGCCGAGCCGCCCATGTCGCTGCAGCGGGAGCCCCCGCGGCCCGAGCCGCCGCCGCCGCTCCCACCGCTGCCCTTGCAGCCGCCCCCGCCGCGGGAGTCGGCTTCCCGGGGTGAGCTGCCGCCGCGGCCGCGGAGAGAGACTGTGCGCCTGGAGCTGGTGCTCAAGGACCCCACCGACGAGAGCTGCGTGGAGTTCAGTTACCCGGAGCTGCTGCTGTGCGGAGAACAACGGGTACAGAAGATTCCTCCCTCCTGCCCCAGACCCCGGGAGCCTCAGGACCCGCCGCCTTCCCCAGCTGGTTTGCACCTTGAGACGCCCACCAAGCGCGTCCGGGTCGCCCCGAGGGTGGGGTGCGGGGGGCCGGGGCGGAGGGGTGGACCGGGCGGTGAGCACTGCTTTCTCCACTCCCGGCGGTGACCGAGGCTCTCGCCCGGCTGCGCCGAATTCCCAAACCCCCGTCCCTCGCTCCCAACGCCGCGGCGAGCCTGTTTTCTTGTGCACCTTTCGGAACCTCAGATTTTCCTTCTTTCCTTTCTGCTCCCCACACTAAATCCTGGGGCCCTGCAGGCCGTCAGGCTGGGTTCTCCCTGTGGCGCTACAGCTGTGGTTCCAGTAGAAAGGAAGAGAAAACCTTGGGGGACACGCCCCCCAGTCTGAAGCAGAGAGATTGTGTAACCCCTCTCGCATCATCCTCATCCTCATCGCTGTTTGTTTTGCTGGGCGCCGTGGCTGCTGAGGTGTGCTTGCGTGCCTGTGATATTTTTCTTAATCAAAGGAATTTAAAAATAATTAAAGGTTTTCAGAGACTAAGGATTCCACTTTAGGAATAGAGAAGTGGGTTAGTTAATCTGGTTACTAATTTTTCTCTCTTGTTGGTATTGGTAAACCCTTTTAGCTTTCCTTTTTGTGGAGTTCGTTCATATTGTAATTGAATGGGAAGGTGTCTCTTGTTTTACTTGACACCTACCCGTCATATTTTTAAGTGTATTATGAGTTTATAGAAGAATATTGTACTCGGCCTTTGTAATTTTCGGAGAATGATGAAAAAAATCTCAGCTTTGAATTTTTAAAAGTTTATTGAAAATATATAGGTAGGCTTTTGATGTAAGTGGTGAACAATAGAGAAAGGGTAGGGGTTATGCTGGTAATTGTAATTTTTATTGTTGTGGATTGGTGGATCTTCGGAAGTAAGTTAGAAAGGGAAATGATAGATTAACAGTAAAGAAAGGAAACAGTTTCCTCTGTTGCTTAGCAATTATGCCTGTTATTAGGTTTTTGCTTTAGCTTGGGTCTAATGGACTCCAGAAGTCACTTGTTCTGTTTTCACCTTCAACTACCTTTATGGTCAAAATGACTGACCACTTACTCATGAAGTATCATGTTGAACAATTAGATTTCGTTTACTTCATGGCCAGCTAATGTTTTGATCATTATTTAGAAATGTTGTGTGGTCAAATCATTACAAAATGTCTTCAACCAAAATGAATTGTTTGAGGGTAGAGATCATTTTGGTCACTTCCAAGTAACATTTTGCTCTTTAGACTCATTTGATTATCCCCTCTTCTTTATAAATGTGATGTCACTTTTTTCCCCAAAAGAGCATTAAAAATATTGGATTGGAGCATTTTTCAAACAAATTGTATTTAAGCTGCTAATCTAAATTGGTTTGCAGTTTTTGTAATTTTCATAAATTGACGGTGAAAGCATTATCTTTTGGTAAAAATACATGGCAATAACTACCTGTACTGAGTTCTTACTGTGTGCTAGACACAGTTCTAAGCACTGCACATGGTTTTTCTAGTAGTCCAGGAGAACTCCATGAGGTAAAAACTATTATTCTCTCTTTACAAACGTATGTAATTTTATTAGTACTTCTTTCCTTAGTGATACAATTTCGTACTAAAACAAAATTTCTTACAATTAACTCGTATAGTTTAGAAGATTCTGCCAAAATGAAGTAAAGTTTAAGTCATAGTAGACATACAAAGACCTTTATTATGTCCCTGTGTATGCTGTAATCACAATTACAAATTAATAATAGATGTGTATCATTTAACTATAAAAAAGAAAAAAGTTCATTTTGACACCCTGGTTTTGCTTACTTGTTAACACCAGAACTACTACTTTCATGTAATAAGAGAAGGAGGAATAATTCCATTTAATTTTTCTGTTTATTTAAATAGTGGAGCTGTCTGTTGGCCCAATTTTCTCATTGTATATCAACCTTATATGCTTTTTCATATTACTCTGAACAAAACAAAATCCATTGTATGTAATCACCTTTGCAACAAAGATTTGCCACATTTTTCTATGATTGCTGCCAGTGAGTACCCTTGTTATGCTAGAAAGCATAGAAAACATATGTTTAAGTAAAATTGCCATGGTTTCATGAAAGGAAATCCTAGAAGAGAGACCATCAAAAAGCAAATGCAAACATTAGAATTGGTCTAGAAATTTGGTGGTTCCCAAAATTAGAAGAATTAGAAGAGAAAGGGCTCTAAATTTTTGAAATAGCCATCTAACACAAAATAAGATTTTAGCTCCAGATGCTGAAATTGGTAGATATGGGGCTATTTAAAAAAAAAAAAAAAAAAAAAAAGGCCGGGCGCGGTGGCTCACGCCTGTAATCCCAGCACTTTGGGAGGCCGAGGCGGGTGGATCACGAGGTCAAGAGACCGAGACCATCCTGGTCAACATGGTGAAACCCCGTCTCTACTAAAAATACAAAAATTCAGCTGGGCATGGTGGCGCGTGCCTGTAATCCCAGCTACTCAGGAGGCTGAGGCAGGAGAATTGCCTGAACCCAGGAGGCGGAGGTTGCAGTGAGCCGAGATCGCGCCATTGCACTCTAGCCTGGGTAACAAGAGCGAAACTCCGTCTCAAAAAAAAAAAAAAAGATGTGTTACGTATGGATACTCTTCATATTAAGGTGCATGTAAATACTAAATGAACAGTAAAACCCTGATTTACTGAAATACAATCAAATTTTTCTGTGCTCTCTTTTTACTAATGAAGAAACCACAATTAAGTAAGTTTGTGTTGGGAAAATATGAAAAACAAAACTACAGGTCAGCTAAACCTTTAACCTTAATGTCTCTATGCAGTACAGTGCTGTGATTGAGATTGTTTAGGGTGATGACAGGCATTGGAATCATCTCTATCCTGAAAGATTAATTTGGTCGCCATTTCCAGCTAAAGGGCAGTTGTGCATTTTAGAAATAAATTTTGGCAATGATGGATACACAGGAAAAAGTTTATCTCTTAGTAAACCAGAAAAATCAGTTAACCAGAACACTCATTTGTGAACATGATTAATTGAGCGTTTACTGTAAAAAGAAAAATAAGTGATTATAGTGTGTTAATATAACTATACTATTTGAGAATTCCATAGTAATTCATTGTTTGCATGTTTTGCATTTTTCCTGAAAATGGTGTTGATGAGTTAAGATCAAAGGACAAAATTACTGCATCAGTTTTGTATGTGGGTAGTTGATAATTTTCAGATTTTTTTTTAACCTGAAAAAACAAAAAAGCTTAGCCTTGATTGGGGGGAGGGTGTTTTTTCTTAACTATAAAAGTGAGTCCATTTTCTTAAATTTGTTTTTGTAGGCTGTCAAGAGAAAATAGGAGCTGTACTTTTGATACCTACATAAAGTACATAAAATATTTTAGGATGGCATATAAGGTGATTCTTATTAAAAATATAGATTGATGTGTTCATATTTATACATATAAAATGGGTCATTTTATATGGGCTTTTATAAGTATTTGGGCTTCACAGTACATGGGGGAGCAGTTTGTAATAGGCGTGGTGATTGCTCACTGTCCTTAACCTGGGCCTCTGGTTAAGGCTATACCCTGATGTGCCTAGGATTCCTTATTAGTTTATTCTTACTAGTTTATTCCCCTTTGGATCATGTTTATGTTTTTCATTGGTAACTTTTTTTTTTTTTTTTTTTGAGACAAAGTCTTGCTCTGTCTCGACCAGGCTGGAGTGCAGTGGCGCGATCTTGGCTCACTGTAACCTCCACCTTCCGGATTCAAGTCATTCTCCTGTTTCAGCCTCCCGAGTAGCTGGGACTACAGGCATGTGCCACCACACCTGGTTAATTTTGTATTTTTAGTAGAGATGGGGTTTCACCATGCTGGCCAGCCTGGTCTTGAACTCTGACCATAGGTGACCCACCTGCTCTCGGCCTCCCCAAGTGCTGGAATTACAGGCATGAACCACTGTGCCCAGCCTTTCATTGGTAACTTGTATTGGGGTGAAGTATTCTATGAATTTATTACTTATTACAATAATTTAAAAAATTGATTCTAAAGGTAACTCCTTTAAAGAAGTATCTAGCTTTATTCTAATGTCCCAAATGTGATGAATTTTTTGGTATTCATTTTGTCCACATTTTTCTATCATGATTTTTAGACTGATTATGTCTCAACCTTTATAATTCAGGATGAAGTGTCTCAATTTCTTTTTTCTTTTTCTTTTTCTTTTTTTTATGTGTTATTTTTGAGACGGAGTCTCGCTCTTTCACCAGGCTGGAGTGCTGTGGCGCGATCTCAGCTCACTGCAACTTCTGCCTCTGGGTTCAAGCGATTTTCCTGCCTCAGCCTTCCAAAGTGCTAGGATTACAGGCATGAGCCAGCATGCCTGGCTAAGTGCAATTTCAAAGTGCAAATCTTCCTTCTTTCTGCATTTTCTTGCCCTTCAGTGTCAACTGAATCTGTATCAGTATTTCAGTTGTAGTATACTTTCATTTTTAATTACCTGAAGATGCTATTTCCATAAAAATATCTAGTTTTGTTTTTTTAACTTCATAGTCAGTTGTCTGAAATTGGATGAAAGTAGTATTTTTGACCTTGTGCATTGAAAAAAAATATTTTTTTTTTTGTATACAAAAATAGAAGACTTAAGGATGTGATTGCTCTTTTTGTTTATTTTTATAAATAGATAGCTAATGTGGGCTTCTAGCTCTGGGTGTGTGTTTTAAATCATGGATTATAATAAACTTTCACTCTCTCCTACCAGAAGAAAGCCATGCTAATGTAATCTTTTTGCAGATATTTCACCTTTCTAGCCTTGTTTAAAAGTAGCGTGTATTCCTTGAATGGGTATCCATTGACAAGATATTGGTGATGTAATGGTTGTTGATACTGGACCTCAACAGAGAGCGATAGCTGCTATGCACACTCAATGTTAACTTACAGACAGTTGATTAAGTGTTAACTCTAATTAATAATCTAGAGCTCCTTTTAGAAGAATTTCCTGATCAGAGCAGTTAATCTTTGTTAGTGAAGATATCAAATTAGAGTTATAAGTGAGATTTTCACAATTAGCTAATGTTCCCGGGGAATTTTTTTCCCTTGATATGAATGAGGTGACCATATGATCATTTTGGAGGTGAAGACAATTTGGATTGTTGAGTTCTTAGCCATCAAACCACTGTGGAGTTTATATGGGTCCATTACAACTGCACGTATTTTTTGCTATGAACCAACGTTTTTTTTAGTTTTAATGCTTGTGACTTACTTGTTAGTATTAGGAAAAGTTGTCTCTTATTGATTAAGATGTGGTATCTGAATAATAACATAGCTATATAATATATGTTCTATATTCTCAGTTTATTCCCTTTCAGATCATATTTTTTGAAATAGAATTGAAGTGGTCGTTACATAATAATAAATAAACAATAATACTAGTTGTAATACTAATGGATACTTCCGTTTCTTTTCCCATTCACCTTGAATCAGAAGAAACGCATTCACACAGAAGACCCATTTAATGATGAACATCGGGAGAGGCAAGAAGTGGAAATGTTGGCTAAGAAGTTTGAAATGAAATACGTGAGTATAAAACTGATCAGTTAGGGGATTTTATCCTATTGGCCTGTTTCTTTGATGTGGCTGGTTGGGAGGGCTTATAAATATCTATTGCCTGCCTTACCTTGTTCTCACAAATTGAAACCGGATAAATGGCTAGACAGTCAAAGATTCTGATAGTTAAAGTAGCCATCATTTATTTTTATTTATTTTATTTATTTATTTTGGAAAAAGGATCCGGCTCTGTGTTTCAGACTGGAGTGCAGTGGCACAGTGTCGGCTCACTGCAACCTCCACCTCCCAGATTCAAGCGATTCTCATGCCTTGGCCTCCCCGGTAGCCGGGACTATGGGTGCACCACTATATCTGGCTAATTTTTTGTATTTTTAGTAGAGACAGGATTTCATTAGGTTGGCCAGGCTGGTTGTGAACTCCTGACCTCAAGTCATCCATTCTGCCAAGTAACCATCATTTATTATAGTCTTTGTAGAGTCCAGGCTATTTATATATATTATCTCCAATCCTTGTAACAAAACAACAAGCTAAGTAATATTGACCACATTTTACAGATGAGGAAACTGAGGCTCTGAGTTCAAGATTAAGGAACTGATCCAAGGTCACACGGTGGCAAGAGTAGACTACACTTCCAGGTCTGTGTAGCTCTAACTCTATTCCCTTTCTACCACCATTGGGAATGCTATTTTAATTCCCTTGGTATAATAGTTCTCAAACTTTCCTGGCTCCTAAGAGTTTGAGAGTGAACGTGTGTACTTCTAAGCCCCTTGCATCAGACTCAATTGGAACCAGCATGAGACTTCTTTGAAGGTGTCTAGTTTATGTTAAATATTCATGTATATTCTGTATTCAGTGCCACAATATATTGGTATTTGTTTGAATACAAAAACAATTATTAATTACCTGATTAAGTTGCTTAACATTTTTCTCAAATTTTCTAGTATTACTGACGTAGAAAGCCCCACTTCTCACCCCATGTTTATACTATGGCTTTAAGTACTCTTGGCACTTTGCTAAAACATAACCCAGTTGAGAAGCAACACCTTACCCCTCCGATTCCTCTGTGAGTTGAAAAGTATCCCACAAGAGGTAGGATATCAGCTCACACGGGCCTTGTCATTCATAGTACTCTCAAGATACAACTGGGATCTTGACCCATACCTGCTGGCTCCTTGTGGTAATTAAGAATCCATTTGGGGGTAGAATAAATAAATGAGAACAGATTGGAATTAGAATCAGGTCCTAGGCCATACTTTGCCATCTACTAATTGTGTCCTTTTGGTGCAGTTATTTAGCTTTGGGCCACAGTTTTTTCTCTCTCTTTTTTTTTTTTTTTTTTTTTTCCCTGAGACAGAGTCTCTGTCACACAAGCTGGAGTGCAGTGGTATGATCTTGGCTCACTGTACACTCTGCCTTGCGGGTTCAAGCAATTCTCCTGCCTCAGACACCTGAGCAGTAGCTGGGATTACAGGCATGCACCAGCATCCCTGGCTAATTTTTGTATTTTTAGTGGAGACGGGGTTTCACCATGTTGGCCAGGCTGGTCTCAAACTCCTAAACCTCAAGTGATCTGTCTGCCTTGGCTTCCCAAAGTACTTGGATTACAGGTGTAAGCCATCAGGCCTGGCCAATGCCATAGTTTTCTTATCTATAAATTTAGAGGTTCAGATTTTGCAGAGATCCTTCTGGTTCTCTATTCTGTGACTATATAATAATAAATTTAAGGGTGGACTGGTGGATATTTTAATAGAAGGAATAGCAAAAGTTGTTACACTAATTTGTAGTATTTAATTACAATGTAATCTTTTGAGATTATATTGTATCATGATGTATAAATTGTAAAATCCTATAGGATACATAAATCCTAAATAGGATGTATAAATCTTAAAATACTGTGTTTTTTATACAAGTTATACATTGGTTAAACTGAATGTTTTAACCAACCAGTACACTTATGTAGCTCAAAATTCAAAAATAAAAAATCTTCTTCTTGTATTGCCTACCCATCAAATCCCACTTCCTAGGCAAGTAATGTGCCTGTGGTACTAGAGATATTATATCTCTATACATATACACCTATTCCTTTCCCATCCCCTTTTTACGCATGTCGTAGAATACTGTACATTCTTATGCTCTTGGCTTTTCTTTTTCTTGAGATGGAGCCTCACTCTGTCGCCCAGGCTGGAGTGCAACGGCGTGATCTTGGTCCACTGCAACCTCTGCCTCCCAGGTTCAAGAGATTCTCCTGCCTCAGCCTCCTGAGTAGCTGGGGTT